AACTACTCCAGAAAGTATGCAAAGCTAGACTGTGATGGAATATACAAGGATTTATGATTCATGAATTTAAAGACAAGCATCTCAAAAGTTTCCATGTGTGTGCATGAATAAAGTTCTAAAAATGCCAATCCTGCATTAGTTAAAGTCAAAAGCATATCCCAATCCATATAAACGGTTTCAACTGCATAAAGATAGAAACTCACTCTTTTTCCGTGCTTAGTTGATAAATCAGCTCACAGCTTCGAAATCAAAGGGACTTGATTAGCTTGTAATGTGGCCAAGGGTTAAGGTTATTGAAAGGACAAGATAAGGGATAAATTCAAATAATTTGAGATAAATAAAATTTTAGCTTAATCCACACTTTCTTTTTCTGTCAATACCTCTTATTGCTGTTGCAATCCCCTCAAACTTAAATCAAGAAGAATTCTTTTCTTTGCTAAGTCTTATTATTTTTTTCACCTGACAAGTGTTAAACTCCCCAATCAATACTTCCTCTTCTCATCATCATACCTAATTATCTCCATTAAATGTGTTTATTTAATCTCAAAGCAAGGTAGTTCATGGTTTTTCAAGTTAAGTGGCACAAGAAATGGTTGTGGGCTCAAAAGAAATTCTTTATGGTTTTTTAAAGCTTCAAAATGGGTGTAAAGGGCATTAATATTCTATTAGGGTTAACTTGAAAGGCACAATCTCATTGAAAGAATGCCCTAATAATTTTTCAAAATCACATAAAGTGATTTATTTATAAACTTTGAGCAGATCTGGATAAAGTTTCTGAAATCATGGAGTTGAAAACGAACATATAAATAGATTTGTACTTTATTCCCTAGCTGAATACACTCAAATACTTATGACTCTACAAGTGCATTGGCTTTAAAAAATGAATCATTCACAGTTGCATATTGACCAAACTTTCCAGTAAAGAATACTAACTAAATAACTCATTCATATCATTGGACCACAAGCACTCGAACAACTCATTCGTCAGCCTAATCTACATTCAAAAACATTGAACAAGCTCAACTTGAGTTTTACATCAAAATTCTAGCCATAATTTGCAAAAAAAATTGCTTAAAACTCATCAAAAGATGGCATAATGATCTATGTCATTCAAAAATCACCTCTACATCCCCCAAACTTAAAAAGGACAATGTCGTCATTATCAACAAATTATACGAAGGTCTTCCTCATGCACTAAAACACAAAAATCAAAAGATTTAGCGCATGAGGGATAAAAAAAAAATAGTGTACCCACACCTATACAGATATGCGCTATTCATATAGGTTAGAAAAGTTAGTTTAGTAGAATATGCACAAAATAGAACCAACATATATCATTTGTCAAGAATAAGCTATAATTAGCTTATATATAGGCATTAACAGTTGTAGTTCATAACTAGTCCTATACCAAAATAGTTAGTAATCTAGGCCCTTAATAGCCTTTCAACCATACAATTAAACAAGTAACATAAATCTAGGTAATAACAGTCACAACAAAATAATGCACAACAAAACAAAGCAAAATAAAGCAGGTCGTAGCAGTAGTAAATGGCCCCAGCTAGTTGTCCTCATCAAGAGGTTCTACAGCCATGTCTTCATCTTATTAACATCGCCACCAGAAACCTCAGCTTCATCCTCCCCCTCATTCAACTCTTTTTCACCTTCAACCTCAGTACTTGTGTTTTCAACATCATGTACTTCAATTTCCAGCTTTCGAGCAAAGCTCCTCTATACGCCTCTGTCTATGCCTCCTGTGGCACATCTCTCTGTCCAATTTCTCATGGAGGAGGTCTAAACTCTAAGTGGTGGGGTCAAAGCTAGTGTTGGCTCTAGCTTCTTGTTCCTTCATGTATGCTTTAGAAAATTATTTAGCTACATGTCTTTAGTTATATGCTATTGTTCATGTTCAGGTACTATGGTGGAGTAGTTGAATTTTAAGGCTAGTTTGAACTTCGGATCCTTCTCCTTCTATTCCACTCCTTCTTGAGTTAGCAAATCCGAGATCAAGTGTGGCATGATTAGATTAGTGTTGTATGTCAGGTTGGTATCCCAGATGGTGTTGAAGATCAATTCCTCTATATATGCATTCACTTTTAGAATAAGAAGATATATCAGAAGGGCTAGATTTTGTGGGGCTTCACTTAGATGGCTAGTCAGTATTATGTTTCTGGTAACAATGTGCAACCATATCCTAGCCTTATGTGTCATATCCTTTTTAGAATATAGGCCTGGCCCCTCTTAGGTCTTGTCCATTTGTTGTCCTCTGAGCCAGTGAGTATGGATGAGATCATATCTAGAGAAATCTCTTTTTGGTTGTTCAAGTACCATCAATATTTGCACTCTTTAATTATGGGTAGCTAGTAGAAATTTCTTATTCACTCCCGAGTAATAAGGATAGATTTGTATTGAATAATCATCTTGTTACTCAAGTTAGTAGCCACCTTAACATAAAATTTCTAAACCAGCTTCTCATTCCTATAGTTTTTGGTCTAATTAGGTTTAAGAGCTTCAACTTCCTTGCCTTCCTGTAAAACCTAAATTTACTTGTGCATGGAAATTCTCGTTTTTGATACAACCCTCTCTTATAAATTAGCTCCTTGATAGGGGCTTCAAGGGATGTAACATGGGCTTTCTTCCTTTGAGGCCATTTGTTTGTTTTCCTACATAAAGGAACAAAGTACATCACACACAAACTAAACAAACAAAACACCACAAACACAAAACACAAAGAAAGACAACTACGCTATCCTAAGAAAAAGAAAGCTCTCCACCAAACTTAGATCAAAGATTAAGATCAAAATTTAAAGCTATGTAATCCTCAAGCAATCCTAAAAGCACATTCTCACCAATACTCAACTCCACTCCACCATCAGTTCATGCTTACCCTGAAACTCAAATCTACTTCTCTAATTTTAATCCAAACAGAGTTGCACAAAAGTTTTGAGAATAGGTTTCAAAGATAGACATCCATTAGTAGATGCCTATTTGAACTGATTTCAAAAGATCTTGTCTAAGTACTCACTTTGAAAAACAACAATTTAGCAGTTCACCCAACTCATTTCCAAAAGGAGCAACACTTTGGATTGAGTTTTAATTTCAAAACACAACTTAGGCAATGTGGAAGTGTCATTTGAGAACCTTTACAATTACCACCTATGTTCCAATTCACAGGCTTTTCATAATTGAATGCAGCACAATTTCTCTTTCAAATAATGAAGAAGTTATTTTATAGAATTTTGTCTTTGAAAGCATTCTCAACAATAACCCCTAATCCTAACCATAATGAACCTCATAAAATCAAAATCCCCACGGTCTACTTCAAACTTCATTTTGAATTGTAATGCACCTCCCCAAAATCACACTTCCCTACTTATAAAAGAAAAAATTAAACTAACCTAACTAAAAGAAAGAAAGAAACATTACCTCTGAAAGAAAGAGGGGTAAAAGACGGAGAGGATGGCGACACAGAAGGTCGAGACAGAACATTAACACAGACGACAGTGGAGGACGAGAGGACGACAGCGGCTATGAGAGAAGGAGGAGGAGAGAGGGTCGACAGTGGGAGACTAGGAGAACAACGAGAGTGGAAGAGAGTGGGTGGTCTGTGATAGGGAGAGGAGTGGAGATCAAAAATAGAAGAATGATTCTAATGAGGGGGAGGGAAAAATTTAAGATTAGAGAGAGAGTTAAAAGACTAAAAGGTTAGGGTTTTAAAATTAGGAAGAATGAATTTGACCAAAAAACCAGCTAGATACATAGGGATAAAGTAAGAAATACGCAAAAAAAAGGGCAATAATAGTAAACTAGAAATTCGGAGCTTCAGAAATGATGAATGGCCCTCGACGCTTTAAGCTTCACACCACGGCATCCAAGGCAGAATGAGGCAAACTTGACCAAAAAACAGACGTCGTGGCTCATAACAACAGGCACTGGCGTTTTTCACTAAGACCTTAGGGAGTTTTGATGCCACGGTGCCTTAAACAGAAGTGACATGAGGTTTAATAAGAGCGACCGCCGTGGCTCATCAAGACACACATCGCATCGCTTATTACAGAAATGAGATCAACAACAAAAAGACCAGCCATTGTGGCGTATGTGTATAACAACCATAATGGCTATTACCGAGACAGGGCCCTTAACAACAAAAGCCACCACGATGCATGGTGACACACACCATGACGCTTATTATAGAACCTGTCTAAAATCCCCTGAAACAACCAGAAACACTTACTACCTAACTAGACCCATAACCCTCAAACAAACAAGAGACAAGAAAATAAGATCACATAAAAGCACAATTATAGGAACTAACAAAACATGAGCAAAAAGATCAAAGACACGTAATAATAAAGCTTCAAGTTAGCACAAGTTCTAGAGTAATCAAAGTAATCAACAAAAGCCACAACATCATTCAAATTTATATTAAAGGCACTTGATTATCTAGAAACAACAATAAGTGTATAGTTAAGGCTTGAGGAGCAGAGTTTAACTTTACCGAGGTTAGGGTTAGGTGTACTTCCCTAGATGTAATGGTTAAAATGTAGCCATTCTTTCTTTTGATGATCTATTGATTTAGGAAGAAGCCTTCATACCTACATAAACCTAGATCAAACATAAAACTATTAAAAAGTCAAACAGAAGCTTTCGGGGTGGAATGCTAGGAATTTTTCGAGTTAGTAGCAAGAAGGATTTCTTACTGAAATGAAAATATAAAATTACATATTATATAAAGCGCTACTTCAATGCAGCCTTAACTACAACTACATTACGCAAGCTCCACCAATACCTATACCTACCTATAGAGTCAAAAAAGTACCAGTGACGGTTGGGTTGCCTCCTAAGTAGCGCTTGGTTTATAGTCTTTAGCCTGACTCTTCATCTTCTTAAGAGTCTTCTAATAAATGGAAGGTGACGATTTAAAGATCAATCGGGCCACCCTAATAGTGCTTCAACCTTTGATCATTGGCTTGAAACTTCTTTCTATTCTTTTGCTCCTAACTCTATAACCCATGGCTATGAATTCTCACAACAGTAAATGGACCTGACCACCTAGACTTTAGCTTCCCAGGGAAGAGTCTGAGCTTTGAATTATACAATAAAACTTGTTGAAGTAACTGAAAGGTTCTGGCTAGGATTTTCTTGTTAGGAAGCCTCTTGGTCTTTTCTTTATAGAGTCTTGAACTTTCATAGGCATTGAGCTGAAACTCCTCAAGTTCATTTAGCTGTAATAATCGCTTCTTACTGACAGCTTTTGCATCAAAGTTTAGCTGTTTGATAGCCCAATATGCATTATTTTCTAGCTTAACAAGGAGATGGCATGCTTTTCCAAGACTAGTCTGTATGGTGACATACCAATAGGCATTTTTATACCGTTTGATATGCCCACAAAGTGTCATTAAGCTTGGTAGACCAATCCTTTCTGGTGTGTCCACAATCTTCTGCAATATCTTTTTGCTTTCTCAGTTAGAGATCTCTGCTTGGTGATTGGTTTGTGGATGATAAGCCAAACCAACCTTATGCTTGACGCCGTATTTCTTTAATAGAGCTTTAAATTGATTATTGTAAAATTGCCTTCCTCCATCACTAATTATTGCCCTTGGGGTTCCAAACTAGGTAAAAATGTTCTTCTTCAAGAATTTGACAATACCCTTGGCATCATTTATTGTGGAGACAATGGCTTCAACCGATTTTGACACATAATCCACTGCTACTAAAATGTATTGATTGTTGAAAAACTTAGAGAATGGTCCCATGAAGTCAATTCCCTGGACATCAAATAATTCCACTTCAAGCATGTTATTCGAGGGCATTTCATTCCTTCTAGATATATTACCCACTCATTGACAATGATCATAAGTCAATTCAAAGTCATAGGAATCTTCGAACAAAGTAGGCTAGAAGAAACCAGATTGCAAAACGTTTGTAGCAGTCTTGTTACCCCCAAAAAGACCTCTATATTTGGATGAGTGATAGCATCTTAAAATTTCTTCTTGTTCACATTCTGGAACACATCTCTTCAACAATTGGTCGGCATAATGATGAAACAAGAATGGTTCTTCCCAATGGTAGAATTTGATATCACGTAGGAATTTCCTCCTTTGATAATGGTTCAAATCTTGGGAAATGATGCCACAAATGATGAAATTAACGATATCAGCATACCAAGGCTCCTCGATGTGGGTTATAGCAAAGAGCTACTCATCAGGGAAGGTCTCATTAATCACCTTGTCAACTTCAAGTTAAGCATTAGTACTCAATCTAGATAAACGATCAGTAACTTGATTTTCTGTACCCTTTCTATCAACAATTCTTGAATCAAACTCTTGCAATAAAAGCACCTATCTAATCAATCTTGCTTTTGAGTCTTTCTTGTTGAAGAGATATTTTAGAGATGAATGATCAATGTACACAGTGACTTTGGCTCCCATAAGGTATGATCAAAACTTCCTAAAAGCAAACACCACAGTAAGTAACTCTTTCTTTGTAGTGGTGTAGTTTTCTTGAGCATTGTCTAGTGTGTGGCTCGCATAGTAAATTGGGTAAAACACTTTATCCTTCTTTTGCCTAAGTACAACACCCACAGCATAATCACTAGTATCACACATTACAATGAAGGGTAAGCTCTAATCAGGGGCCATCACTATAGGAGCAGAAACAAGTCTCTTTTTCAACTCTTCAAATGCTTTATAACAAGCGTCATCAAACTTGAATTCCACATCATTCTCAAGTAAAGCACATAATGGCTTGGTGATCTTAGAAAAGTCCTTGATAAAGCGGTGATAAAAGCCAGGATACCCTATGGAACATCCTTCCTTTAACCCCTTAGAGTACACATTTGGAAGTGTTATGGTTCAAACAATTCATGAAACAAGCCTAATGATTAACAACTCTATTTGCTTCTTAGGTTACAGTTCACTACTAAATTCCAGATTTTTAGTCCAATTTTGAAAAATCATAACTAATTATAAAAAAATCATATTGAGGTAGTTCAAAATTTTATTTTAAGCTTTAATTTTCTATAGGGAAAAACTATAAATCTAGCCTTAACACATGCCAATTCGTACAATTCTTTTATTGAAGTTTACTATTCATTTGGTAAAAACTGTACTTCTAGTTTTTCTGCCATAAATTTGGTCAAGCATAACTCATAGCACACACATCTATTTTATGTGATCTACCACTTGCTTTAAAGCTTAGGATATGTAATTTAAGCATACCAAATTTCACAAGTAGAATCAATCATTTGCCTTACTTCCACTATGTTACTATTTCATGACTCATTTAGGTGTAACTTATCCCCCTAACTTGAATTAACAATTCATAATCAATTCTTTCCATGCATAATCTCATTCCATTAATCCATAAACTATTCTCATATATTATCATAGTCAATTATACATGCCATCATCATTATTTAACATTACATAACATTAATGGCATGTTTATACTGTACATTTTTTTTGAGCAAAAAAGCCCATTTTATTGATAGTAAAAAAGAGTACAACCACTAATAGCCCAAAGGCCAGAAAAAACAAACACTCAAAAAGACCTATCATACAACCTAACACACCAAACTTACCAAAAGGAAAAAGAAAACAACAAAAGCATGGAAACAGAAGCTGACAAAACAAACAAAAGGAATTAACCAATGCCCGTTCTTACCCTGCAATCCTCTAAACAATTTGCCGAATCAGCATTCAACACAGCAACCAAAGGAGATGGTGGCATCAAAAGCCATCCCTCAGGAACCATTCCCCTTAATGCCTCAGCTGCAAGACAGTTCACAGCCTTGTTTCCCAACCTACTAATCCAAGACACATTCCAGCTTTGTTTAGATGATAGGACATCTAAACACTTCTGCACTATATCAGAACAACACCACTCACCCCCACAGTAATTCCTCCTCCTCAGAATGCCATACAACTCCTGACATCCATCTCAAAAACCACATTGTTCCAACTTTTTTCCTCTGCTATAATCAAAGCTGAATAAAGAGACAAGCATTCAGTCATAAAAGGAGAGGAAGACTTCACTAGCTTGCCCATACCGCCTATGTATTGGCCTTTCTCATTTCAGCAAACTACTCCTACTGCAGCCTTCATCTCTTTCCTCCTAAAAGCAGCATCCACATTGATTTTAATTCTACCAGCATCAGGCTTAGACCAAGACTGATTTCTTCATAATACACTACTACAAGCTTCTCTTCTTCTCCTTTTGTCAGTAACTTCCCCAAACTCACTTACCAACCTCATAGCCTTAGCTACACATTCATAAGCATCTAAGTCAGCCCCATCAAAAATAGCCCTACATCTAAATTTCCAAATCCACCAGCAAATGCCTGCAAAAATAGCAATCTGCTGCTCATCTGGTTTATCAGCACCAGAAAACCATTCTTCAAGCCACCTGTCCATCTGAATCTTCTAGCTCCTTCAAAATTTAAAGCAAGTGGAGATCCAAACCAACAAAGTTTAGTCCAGGTGCATAAAAATAGCATATATTCCACTGTTTCCACTTGAGTTTTACAGATCCCACATTGAGGATTAGGAGAACATTTCCTCCTATATAAGGCTTCTTTAGTTGCAATTGCTCCTTTAACTACTCTCTATATGAAATGTAAAACCTTAGGCGGCATTTTTATATTCCATATACCAACCCATAAATTTTTTGAGGGTTTATAAGATCAGCTAGGCTTCATTAACACTACACTTTCTTTTCTACTTAAAGCTGCTTTATAACCCAGCTTCACCATATAATCTCCACTTCTACTATTCAACCAAATCAATATGTCATTAGCAGTAATCTCAGAGATGAACACTTGCTTAATTAAGGACTTATCTATATCTTCTAGAACCTCACCAAATCCCCAAAACACTAGTTTCCATCACAAATAATACTGCTAACTTTCCTCTCTTTCAACTCATCAGTAAGGATTCTGTCTCTTAACTTCATATTGGCAGAGGCAGGAAGCCAAGCGTCTCCAAAAATCTTGACATTCTCCCCGTTACCAATCTTCCAACATAAGTCTTTAATTAGCAAATCTCTACCCTCCAATACACTAGACCAACCCTATAAAGCTCTATTGCCCTTTTTAGCCTTCAAAAATGGATCATTTGGAAAATACGGACCCTTCAAAATCCTTACCCACAGCTCATCAGGATTTTTAAGGATTCTCGAAGCTGTTTTTGCCAAAAGAGCTACATTAAACACCTCCAACTCTCTAAAACCCATTCCCCCCTCCCTTGGCTTTACACATTGATTTCCATGACTTCTAATGTATTCTGCCCTCCTGCTCTTTTTGCCCCCACCAAAAATTAGACACCATGCTATCCAAATCCATACAGTATTTTTTTTGGATATTTGAAGCATGACATTGAGAATACTGGTATAGCATTTGCCACTGATTTCACAAGCACCTCTCTTCCACCAAAAGTGAGTAATTTTTGTTTCCACCCCTATAATCTCATACTCATCTTGCACTTCACAAAAGACAAAGCCTCACAATTGGATCTGCTCCAAATCATAGGCAAGCCTAAGTATTTTCCTGGATTATCACTTGCTTTAATACCCAACACTTCAAAAACTTCCTGCTTCAAAGACTCGCAAGCGTTCTTGGAAAAGAAGACACAAGATTTGTCAAAGTTCATAGCTTGTCCAAATGCAGCATAGTAACAATCCAGAATTTCTTTCAACAAACTACAATTTCTACTTTTATCATTGATAAAGAATAAAGCATCATCTGTAAAGAAACAATGTGAAATAATAGGGAATTTGTTTGCTAACCTTATTCCTTTGAGTATTCCTTTATCCACGAACCACTATATCATTATAGATAGAGCTTCTGCAGCTAGAATAAAGAGATAAGGAGACAAAGGATCTCCTTGTCTAATCCCTCTCTTCATCCTCAAATTAGTCACTCTTTTGCTTGCCATCATCAAGCTCAAACTAGCACATGACACACATTCTATAACCCAAGCAATCTATTTTTCACCAAAACCAAGCCTTCTCATGACTTCTTCTACAAATTTCCATTCTAATATGTCATAAGCCTTATTCATGTCAATTTTAATTGCCATCTCCACTTTCTTCCCTTTCTTCTTGTTCTTCAGGTAGTGGAAAGCTTCATGGGCAATTAAAATGTTATCCTGAATCCGTCTACTAGCCACAAACGACCTCTGATGCTCTGAAATAATTCTGGATAACAGAATTTTCATTCTATTAGCCAGAATTTTAGAAACAATTTTGTAAGCAAAGTTACAGAGACTAATTGGTCTAAATTGACACACTGTCTCAGCACACTCTACTTTAGGGATCAAAACGATATTTGTCTTGTTTAGAGGACCTAGGCTAGCTTTATTCTGAAAAAAATCTTCAACTATCTATACAACCTCCTCACTAA